GGGTGCTTTGGATCTCTTGGAAGGAGCATTACTCAAATGAAGGTGTGCAATTACTCAGATGAAGGCTGAAGAATAAGGCTGTGAGATGGATGTAGACAGGGGAAGGTTTGGGATGCTGCTAGATAGGTGACCTCTCTGTCCTTGGGCAGCAGCAGCTATAGGCTATTTTAAGGCCCCCGAATGATATCATCTGTTTTGCGTCTAAGAGAGGACACTTTGACAGCATAGGCCAGCCACAGCAGAGGCTTCAACCGTGGCCTCTGGACCCTGTGAGGGGTACCCTCCGCAGTATGATGCGAGCTACCCACGGATGTGACAAGAGTGAGAGGCAGCCAGGCTTGCCACCAGAAAAGGCAGATCTAGGAGGAGAAGAAACGTACAGCCCTGAGCCCTGTGCAGGGCAAGCCCTCACCAGGCCCTCCAACCCGTGGGCAAGCAACCAGTTGTCCTGGACCTTATTCTTCCCAGCATAATTCATAGGCATGCTCTCTCTCTCTCCCCTTCCCTGTCTCCATCTCTTCCTCCTTCTCTCTCTTTCTCATCTCCACCTTTAAGATTGCCTCTTTTGGAATTAAAGCAGACTCGGAACCCCACAAAAGAAGATAAGAAAAGGTTCTCTGGCTCTAATATTAATCACTGCTTTCTCCCACCCCAGTGCCTCCAAAGGAAGTCTCAGGAGGTTCCCTTCCCTCCCCCACTCCCTGATGAGCATCCTCTCTTGCCACTGTTTAGCTCTCAGCTCTTCTGGTTTCCGGTTGGTATCTCCTCTCTGCACTCCTCAACCCAGAGTCTCTTCTCCCTGTTCAAAAGGGTTCCTTTGTCCCCAAAACTTTAACCTCTTCCTGAGTGTAATCTAACTAACCCTCCACTCCACTCACAACCCATCTCCAGCGGCACCTGTCTGATGCTTGCTGCCTAGCTTCACTCAGAGGCCCCGGGAGGTTCTTCTCCCACCCCAGTATCCACACCAAACCCCCTTCTGAAACTTTTGATCCTTGACCAAATTCCACCAGGCCATAGTGGGTTAACTGGCTGGTCCCCACACCCTTTTACTTCTACTGAAGGCTGCCTGGAGGAGGCCCTCTTTCCCCTTGCTTGGACAAGAATTTGATTCACCCTGTCTGTCACCCTGTCCCCCTCTCACCTAGCCCACTCCCTCCCTGCTATGTATCCAAGGAGTCTGCATGCCCAGACTTGTTCCCAAGTTGGCCTCAATCTCACTATGTAGGCCAGGCTGGCCTCAAAGAGAGCCACTTGTCTCTGCCTCCTATGTGCTGGGATCAAAGGAGTATGCCACCATGACAGGCAGGTAAACTCTTAAATTCTGCTGTACCAAGGCCAATGAGAGGCAGAGCTGGGTCTGGAATACAGTGAGTTATGGCTGGCTCCTGTTCTGGAGCGGGGGCCAGTCAAAGAATCATGACAAAATGGAACAACGGAAAGCAAAGGTCAGGTGCAAATGAACACTGTCAGGCAGACCCAGGGCCACCCCAGGGCAGAAAACACAACATTGGATAAGGATGTTACTCTGAACGTGGAAGAATTAGCTCAGAGTTTGATAGAGAGAGGACAGCTCCCTCCAAGCTCCATAGGAATTGCTTTACAGTTCAAGCTTGATAGTTCCCTGGTATAAGCAGCATCTGTGGCCTTTTCTGAGAGTGCCCAGGCTGAGCATTGAAGATTTCTCCACAAAAAAGCCCAGAGAAGGAAGGATAATTTCTGCAGTGAGGGGGATGTGGAATCCACAAGTATCTCCCCAATACTATGTTGGTGGATGAATTTTCTCACACTGGAATTCTGCTTGGATATAATTTCCACTAAGAACACTGCATTTCTTCCCACTGACTTTCTTCCTGTTAAGCAAGCTGAGAATTAGTCCATAACCTGTAAAGCAAAGTCATTAACTCTTTCTGTTCCCTCTTCTAAAGGTGAACAATGCTATAGAGACTGGCATTGGGTCTGATATAGCCGTCAAAACCTTGAATCACTATAGACTTCAAATTATAAACTGGACAGTAGGCAGAACGGAGACTCAATTCCCAAACAAAATATTAATTTTCTCCTATTTCAATTCAGATTTTCCCCAATGTAGCATTTAATGAATGTCTGTTTTATGCCAGCCCAAAACTGGGTATTTCCACGTTATGTTATCTTAATCAACTCTGCTCACGCATGATCAGTTTTTTAGGATGTGGAAACTGAGGGCCCCAGAGAATAAGCAATGTGTCTAGATAGCAGCACCAGGTAGAATCCAGGACTCAAGCCCAGAGCTCCTGACTGTAGCTGCTGGGCTTATTCTGTTGTGCTATGAGACCAGGGAACGCCTACTGAAGTTACAATGAACCCAATTAAAATGATCCTCTCAGGCAAAAATATTTTTTTCAGAATCTTGTAGGGTTTCACAAAAATTATCAAAGATGGTTACCTACTTAATTCCAACCTTGCAAATAAGAATTTGTCAAACATTTATCTCAAAGCATCTCCTTGGCCTGTTAAAACTCTAATGAAAGTGATCTTTTATTTTTCCCCTCAGAGCTGTATCTCAGAAAATCAGAAGCTTTAAGTGTGCGTGCGCGTGCGCGCGCACACACACACATACACACACTCTTCTGGAACAGTCTCATGTAGCTCAGGCTAGCCTCTCACTATGTAGTTGAGGCTGACCTTGAACTCTTCATCTTCCTCTTTCTAGCCCTCCCCCCTCCACCCCTGATGTTGGGATTACAGACTGATGCCACCTTGCTTGGAGCAGGGGTGAAAGAAAACTTTGCCCTTAGTTTCACTAACCAAAATATTTTACACAGTCATATCTGCTGACTTATTTTGGGGGACCAAATACCTGCATAGTCATCATCTGAAGAATTTGCCAAGGGGCTAACTACACTTAACATTTTTTTTTTTAATATCTACATGTCAAAAACTCCCAAAAGAAGGCTTTGTGAGAGCTCTAATAGTGTTGCTGGATAAATTATGACAGTTATAGAAAAACCGGCTATTGCAACCTAGAAAGGGCTAACAGATACTCAGGACTAGCGGCTGAGATTCCACCACTTGTTAAACAGGCTAGCCAGTGTACTGAGCAAAGGTAGGTGTCAGTTTTCACTCAGACCAAAGGTTCTCCAGGAGGCAAAGAGGAGGAACCCAGCAAGCACCAGTCTGGACACCCTGATGATATTCTGAGCTGGAGGCTTCTCATCCCAGATGGCAGCAGGCCTCCATCTGTCCCACGCTCCTCCCGAGGAGCAAGCCTGGGAAGACCTCAGCTGGGCACTGGCAGTTTTAAAGGGTGGATTTATGGCTAAAGCACAACACCAGAATCGAGTTCCCGTGGCTCCACCCACACTAAAGGTGGGGAAAGAGAGCCACATGAGACCAGAGGCCAGACCTGTAAAGTAAGGGAACCCTTTCTTGGCCTGAAGATATTACTTAAGCAACTGGTCCAAAGGCCAGCAAGTAACTGCTAGGCTTCCTTTCCAGGGCAGCCCCTGGGGAGCCGGTATCTGAACTGTGGGGCACCAACACTCTTTCCGACTGCTGGTGGGAAACACTCAGCGACCAAGTGGGCTCTCTGCAGTGCCCAGGACTCACACACACAGAACGGGGAAGGCCACCCAAGCTTTGGTCAACCCCAAGGCTTTCCAAGCAGATTTAAAAACAAATTCTGCGTTCATCATTGGGAAAACAAACAAGGCCATGTCTTTGAATGTATTCACTCTCTTGTTAGGGCCTGTTATTTAAATGTGGTGAGGAATGACAAGCCTTCCCCCAAAATGTCCTAAACCACTTGGCACCGGAGAAGGCGAACACTAGCAGGTTCTACTTCCCTCCTTTCCTCCCACAAACGTCCTCTGTTAAGGCAATTCCAGGATGTTATTTATTTACTAGAAGCCTGACTTCCCTTTGCATGTGGTTCTGGAGGAGCCCATAGAACCCCAAGGAGTCCATTAACTTCCGAAGGCATTTTCTTTTTGGCCGGGAAGATCTTGGAGAGCTCGGGAGCAGGCAAAAGCAAGCCTTCGGGGACTCATGAGCAAGGTGCAGTCCCCAGAGAGGTGAACCTGCTGCCCCATCCCCTTCCAGCGGAGGCAGCTGTGGTGCTTAGACAGAGGGTGGAGCCTGCCTAGGAACCCCCTTTCCCTCTTCGCGGTGCACCTGCCCTCCCCTGCTGCGCAGCCCCCACCTGGGGGACGAAGAGCCACTGGACTCCCACCCTGACGTGCATTGCCGAGCTCAAGTTACGCAGACGCCCCGAGCAGAAAATGAGATTCCAAGCATAAGTAACCCAAACCTCTGAGCAACGGCTCAGACACGCACCCAGTCGCCGCGGCCCAGCGATCTGTCAGGCATGGACCACTTGAATACACTCGAGTGTGAAAACAAATAAAAGCGGCTTATATTATTTTTAATAGAAGAAAAACGTGGTGAGCAGGTAGCCCGGGAGGAGAAACGGGCTGAATTCTCTCAGCTCTGGTACCCTGTGGCCTCCCGCGCGAGCCACCACTGCTGGCTGGGAAGGTCAGGCATGAATCTGACAGGAGAGGTATCCTACAAGAAGGTACCCACTCCCTGCCCGGGGCTCCAACATTCCCAGGGGCTCCGCCATCCGGCAGGCCCAGACGTCTCTTCAAATCCAACGGAGAACTGTAATTCCTACAGTCTCGGTCTGTACGAAGGTGGTGGTGGCGGTGGTGTGCGCGCGCGTGGGAACAGTTAAGGATGAAGATCAATTTAAACCTTGTTTTCAAAAGACCCCCTTGTCCAGCCTGCAAGCCCCCCTCCTCCTTGTGGAGAGAGCAAGGGAGAGCAGCTCGCGGAGCACCGGAATGGGGGTCTCCCCCAAAAGCATTGTTACCTCGCGCGAAACCGGAGCCCTCGGGGGTTGTCCCCGAGCTTGGGGACCAGGCCCGGGGAAGGCGGGCAGCTGGCGCCACGCCGTGCCCACCCGGCTCCGCACACGGCCTGGCCCCGGGCGCGCGCCTCGACCCCCACGCGCGGCTCACCTAGCACCACGGCGGCCACGGTGGAGAGCAGCAGCCAGTGATTCCGCAGGAAGCGGCGCCAGTCGCATCCAGAGCTCGTGGGCTTCCCCATGGTGGGCACCGGCGCCGGCGGGGACTCGGGGAGCGTGTCTGATGAGGCGGGATGCGGCGCGGCGCGGGGACCTGGCACCCGGGCCGCTGTCAACGCTGCCACCGCCGCTGGAGACCGAGCGCTGTGGTTTTGCGTGGCGGGCGCGCCCGGCTCCTCCCGCCGCCGCTCGCTGCAGCGCCGGGGCCAACCAGCGAGGCCGAGGGCGGAGCGTCCCGGCGGGGAGGTGTGCGTGGGGCGATCGGTCCCCCTGGGCTCCCACCTTCTCACCGGAGGAGCTTCTGACCCACTGCGAGTCCACGCCAACCTCCTTGGGAAACAAAGCCCTGGCCACGTGCAAGAGATTTGGTAAGGGTACCATCCCCGAGCCTCAGGCCCCGGAGCCACAGCAAGAGACACAGACTTCAGAGCAGGGTTGGGGAAATTTCCCAGCGTGTCTCGGATAGTCCCTGCGGGATTGTTTAATTCTCTGACTCTCGGCTCAGACAGGATCTACCGGGACCCAAGTTTGATTGTACATCTTGCGCGTGGACTTGCTCATCTCTTGCACAATTTAGCAATTGCACTCTTAGGGTCTAGCTCTGTGGTCATCACTGAGTAATTAGGATGAGAACCTGGCCTGGCTAGTGTGAGAAGGTGGGCAGGCCCATCCCATCCCCAAGGCCAAATATCTTACAAGGAGAAAGAGGCTTTAGATGGTTATTCTGCAGTAAAAGTCAACACCGCTCCTTAGTTCTTGAGACTTTATCCAGAGATTTATCCAGGTTTTCGTTAGTTATATTTCTCTAATGTGATGGATGGTACCTCCTCCTCCTCCTTGAGGTGGTATCCCTTATTGTTACTGTTTTTCCTGTTTTTGTTTTTACTGCTGACTCATGGAATTTTAGTGAGTGATTAAAGAGACTTCGACTTTGTCACACACAGTTAAGCAGCAGGTGACAGCCCAGCCTTTTGTATCAACTGGGATAGAAATGAAAAAGACACCCAGAAACCAAAGGCCAATTCTCCCTGGCCAGCCTCTTTGGGAGTGACTTGATGGGCGCAGTTCACCTTCATAAGGTGACACGGTCTCATGGTTTCATGCAGTGGCGATGGAGGAGGCCACAGCATGTGAGTGACCTTCATCTTGTCAGGTAGCCTCCCGTGGCAGCAGGACCTGAGGACACTGTGATCTTCCTTATCTTCTAATCTTGATCTGGGCCCAAGTTACCTTGGGATTATAAAGCAGAAACTTTAATGACCACAGGAATTCTCCAAACAGTGTTTTTTGAAGTTGAATTGTCTGAGAGGAGCTTAACATTGTTAGATGCCCTTGAAATCTTTGATCCCACAGAACTCCGCCCCATTGGCTTCATTGCTTATTGGGAAAAGCTGGAGAACAATTTCATTTCATCTAGGAGATAAAAACCAAACTTTGAAATTTGCTACCTACAAGATGTGTGAGTTTGAGCTTAACCTCCTTTATCTTCTGCTTCCTTCTCTCAAGACAAGGTAAGGTAATAGCTGTGCATGACATTTGTCTGTCTATCTATCTATCTATCTATCTATCTATCTATCTATCGTCTAGCTAGCTAGCTATCTAACATCTGTCTATCAATATCTATCTCTAATCTAGCTATCATCTATCAGTCTATCCATCATTGTTTATCATCTATCCATCATCTCTCTCTAATCTAGCTATCAATCTCTCTGTCCATCATCATTAGCTATAATCTTCATCATATCTATCTATCTATCTTCTATTTATCTATCCATCATCATCATCATCATCTATGATTCATCTAGGTAGCTATATATTATCTATCTATCTATCTATCCTATCTATCTTTCATCATCTATCACATCATCATCATCATTATCTATCATTTATCTATCTATCTGTCTGTCTATCTGAAACGAAAAAGTTTCAATTTTACTAGAGGTCAAAGAAATTCAAATTTAAGCCCCTACTTGTTTACCCATTGGACAAAAGTCTCGTCATAAAATGCATAGTTAGGACTTGTATAATTTTAACATTTTATCATTAGGAAAACACTGGGGAAACGGGAAGTATTGTACCCTGTACTTTTATATCTAGAAAATACTATGATTTTCTTGAGGATGATTATGCAATTTGTAATGTATTTTATCAGAACTTCTTGACCAGTTTTGAGTTTCTGTCATCACAGAGGACTGCTGCAGAAGCATGTCTGAACAGAGCTGACCACAGCACTAACCTGTGGGTACCAACATAGCTATTTAGCTGTTGACAAACATCTATGTCAAAAAGCAACAGCAGAGCTTGGTAGTAGGGCCTATGACCTCCCATGTGTGGCTTTTGCCTGGATATATGGTACCAGATAGGAATTCCTTCCTACTGGGCAGGGACCAAATCAGAGAACAGTTGCTACACTGTAAGCAGGCCCAGTGGATCTCATTGGATAAGACATGAAAATAGAAACAAGGGTAACTGGAAAGAGGCCAGGGATCAGTGTTGGTGGGATTATGAGAGAAACAAGGGAGGGTGGCAGGGATGTGAATTCAATAGGAATACATTATTTACATGTATGAAAATGTTATAACAAACCCATTATTATGTATAATTCACTTAAGTTAAGAAAAACATTTTTTTAAAAAAAAAACTGCTTATATTCTTCACCTGAACCAAATCCTGCACCTATTTCTTTTCTTTTTAATAATTTATTATTTACTTTTATGTGCATTGGTGTTTTGCCTGCATGTATAAGACTGTGAAAGCATCAGGTCCCCTGGAACTGGAGTTACAGACAGGTGTGAGCTACCATGTGGGTGCTGGGAATTGAACCTGGGTCCTACTGAAGAGTAGTCAGTGTTCCTAACCACTGAGCTATCTCTCCAGTCCTGGGTATTTCTACTAAAAAAACCATCCAAAGATTTGGGCAAAGTTGTGGAATCAGCTTGACTAGGACCCAGACTGGCAGAAGCCTCAGTCGGAGAGGTGGGATGACGGCAGAATACCAGGCAGAGAATGAGAGCACCGTAGCAGAATGTTGCCTTATACACACAGGTGCGAATCCTAGAGCTGAAGGATGCCAGCGCAGAAGATCTCAGGTCTGAGGTCAGCCTAGGTCACCTAGCAAGACCGTCTCAGAACATTCAGAATATCAAATTGTGTGGGACTCACATGGGAATATACTTTGTTGGTAAACACTAATACAAGACTATGGGTGCTTGTTTGTTTGTTGATGAGACAGTGTCTTATGTAGCCCAGGCTGGCCTCTAACTCACTATGTAACCAAGGACGACCGTGAACTCCTCATTCTTCCACCCTCACCTCCCAGGTTTTGAGGTTCCAGGTGTATACCACCATGGCGGCTAGAAGGCTGTGCTTAGAAATGTCAAAAGTAAGTTAACAGAACATGGAGCGATGTGTTCATACAATGAGGATATGATCATTTGTCGCTTGTGCCCTTGAAAATAATACATGACACGTGTACAGCACAAGCCCAGCGACACGTGGAAGAACTGTGACATGCTCGTTGCGTTGCATTTTTCCTCCTGCACCTCCCTTTCCAAGCACATGCTCTTTGCCCAGCTGGCTGGTCTTCACCAACTTGGGGGAACCAGAATTTGCTACAGAAGAATTCTAAGCAGGCCACCGTGTGTGTGTGTGTGTGTGTGTGTGTGTGTGTGTGTGTGTGTGATCACTAATGGAAAACAGTGCTATGATTATCTTTTGCTGTCTCCCCACTAGTTATCAAAAGCCTAGCCTAGAAGATCTGTGCCACAAAGTTCTCAATATGTTCCAGCAAGTGAGCCAGACAGGGGGGAGTGAGAAAAAAAAAACAAAACAAAACAAAACAACAACAAAAAAACCTCATCACAAATGACCCAGTAGGAAGAAGAAAGGGAGAGGGGGAAGGGATAGTAGCTTTGTCCAGGGAGAGGCTGTGTGTTAGAGAAAAGAGAGAGACCATTCTGTACCCCGTTCCCTACCTGGGAAGCTGCCTGCTGGCTACTCCTTCCAGTCCCAAGGGCACCCATCAACTCACAGCCAGTCGGACAGGGTAGTGAATCTGAGGACAGCTCGCAGTCTTTCATTTCCCACCCATCCTGTTCTTGATGCCTGCATGCTGGCTCTGGGGGACTCCGTGGATTCCTAGCAGGACACGGTGACTCGGGGTCTGGGGACATGTGTGCGCTGCCTCCGTGTGCAGACACTTTCAGCTCTGTTCCCTGCACTGGCTGGGGTGAGTCCCTGGGTCCTAACTAGGAGAGACAGACAATACAAAACACATCTGCACAGCCTCGCATTTCAGCCCTCTGCAGGGCTTGTCTGCCAGAGCCACAGAGAATGACCAAATGGACGTACGCCAGACTCTTGATAAAGCCGCGCACTTCACCGTCTGTGAATATTTTTTTTGCACTTTTTTTTTTTGAAGCAAGCTCTTATGTAACACAAACTGGCTTCGCGCTCACTAAAGAGGGCCTTGAACTCCAGTTCCTTCTGCCTGCACCTCCCAAGAGCTGGGATCACAGGTGTGTGCCTTGCCGTCACACCCGGCTTGTTAATTTCTCAAAGTCTCCTTCATACTGCAAACCGATCTTGGGCTCACCTGGGTTATCTGCCCTACATGATTCCCCCTCATTCGGGACTGCTTTTGCACGGTGACAGCCTATGTGATTCTCTGTCCCCCGTGTTTTCTATAAGCAGGTAAGTTAGAGGTTTGTTGGTCAGCCACCCACAGTTCAACAAGAGAACTCTGATGCCGGCTGGTTTTCCTGTGATTCCTGACCCCCCCCCCCGAATCTTCTCATTTGTTTGAGCAGCTTCAGTAATGGTTGAGACCATTCCAATGAACCCATCCTGATTTTATCATTCCTTCTTTTTGCACAGTGCCAAGGATTTTACATGTGGCGCTTTTTTTTTTTTTTGACACAGTCTCACTATGGGATGCTACTGGCCTCCGATTACAGATCCTCACGCCTCAGTGAGTTGCTGGGATTACAGTCATGTGCTGCCCCACTTGGATTCTTCCATTCACTCTAAATACATTTCCCGGAATCGACTCTTTGGTCACCCTGAAGCCGATTTCCCACAGAAATGGCAGGACAGGCTGGTTTTTCTCAATAAGAAACAGGTGCACTAACAGCTTTGCATAGGGACTGCTGA